TATTTGCTCAGATAAATTCTGAGAGGAGGGGAAAAAAAAAAATCAATGAGCATGTGAATTGAAGCAATCAGACAGAAATTTTAGGAATGCAGAGTGAAAGTAAAACTTTTAAAAATTAAAAGAATTAAACATCAAGTTGAATAAATAAATAGAGCAGGAACAGAACTGGGATAGGTCTGGTTTGTAAAAGAAGAGAACTAAAGTGGGCAGTTCTTAGTGGATCTCATGGAATTCCCAGTAACAGAAAGCAAGAAAATATGGGTGCCCACACTGAATTATTAAAGCTTTTTTCTTTCTTTTTCACCCCTTCACTCCAGAGTTGTAAAGAAGAACCCACGACCTTGGACCTGCCCTCCACCTCGCACCCAGGCCCTCCAGGGCCCCCTAGCACCTCGAGCTGCGCCCCCCACCCTCGTACACATGCAGAAAGGGGCCTCGCCCTCGCTCCCGCCGCTGCTCTCAGTCTTGTCAGTTCTTCCCATTTCATAGCTGCTGGGTCTGTCCATGGTGAGTCCCTCGGTGCAAGCCCCAAGGTCTCCTGCCTGGCCCACCGTGAAAAGACGGATCAGAGAGGGTTAGGTGAGCTAATGCGTATAAAGCTGACAGGGCGACGCTTGGTCCCAAGTAACATGCTCCATAAACGTCAGCTACTTACTATTCTTCACTGTCTCCTTGCTCCCCTTCTTGCTCCCTGGAGTTATAAAGCTGACAGGGCGACGCTTGGTCCCAAGTAACATGCTCCATAAACGTCAGCTACTTATTATTCTTCACTGTCTCCTTGCTCCCCTTCTTGCTCCCTGGAAAGATCATTTTCAAGCAAACTCAGTTCATACCACCTTCCTGCTGAAGGCCTTTGCCAGAGTCGCCCGTGGCTTTTAGGAACAGCCTGAATCCTTGCAGAGCCTCCCAGGCCGGCTGTGTCCGGGCGGCCCCTCTGCAGGCCCCTCTGCCCCGTGCTGTCAGCGCTGCAGGCACCCTGGCCTTCTTTCAGTTCTTCAAACTTGCAGAGCTTCCCTCCACCTCGGGACTTTTACACAAGCTGCCTCCTCTGCCCGGAACGCCGACTCATCCTTCCCGGCGGCCGGAGCCTCAGCACTTCCTCGGGGAGACCTTGCCTGGCCTCCCTAGCCAGGTCAAAGCTCCCCGCGCACCTCGTACTTCTTCATGGCGCTGCTCAGGGTCGTGATCTGACGCGTTCGTGTGGTCATCAGATGAACATCCCTCTCACCGCTGCATGGAGGCTCTAGGAAGGCAGGGACCATGTCTGTTCTCGGTTTATTCCAACCCTCAGAGCCTAGCATAGTTCCTGATATGTGACATGGTAGGTGCCCAATGAATATCTTCGAAATAAGGAAGGGAGGGAAGGAGAGGAAAAAAATGCATGCCGGGTGTCCCTGCCTGTTCTAGAGGCCACACCACTGTGAGGATTTGTGGTGGCCACAAGGAACCGTCTCACACCGTGAGCATTGTGGGCTTCCCTCATTCCACTGCCTTTGATTCATTAGGCTTTTGTTTCTCAATTCAATTCCAGTGCTTGTTCTTAGGAAAAATGGTCCTGACTTTGGCATTATAGTGTGACCTCTGAATGCAGTTTCTGGCTTTTTTCTTGTACAAACATTGTGATCCTAAGAAAGGATAAGGTGATAGGTGTGAAGTTGCAGGGGGAAAATTCCACCCCGCCAAATCCAAAAGGGGTTCCTTGCCCACCCAGCACTTCAGCTCACTCTCTGGTATTTCTGCCCCAAATTGAGGGGAGACCCACATGAGGAGCTCCAGCACAAGCAGAAGGCAATGGGAAGGAGGGAATGGGGGAAAGAAAACTCTTCCCACACCCACCATTTTCAACCTCCTAGAGGAAGCACTAAAAGGAAAGTAGGCACAAAGGACCCATTTCTCTGATCTAGAAACAGAGGAGAGGGGTATTTCTCCTGCTGCATATGGCTGAACATAGATGAACTCCAGAGGAACCAGAGAAGAAAGAATGCCAGAGTTGAAAGGGATGTCTTCCCTACCCCAGCGCCGCTGTTGCATGAATGAGGCCATGAGGGCCAGAGAAGCGAAGGGGTTGCGGAGGCCACACAGAGGGGAGCTTGGGGAAAGGAAGTGGGGCTTATCGAGTGACTGACACTTTGAGCTCCTCCTCATAGTTTAGGTACTTTGCCCCGATTAAATCCTTACGTAATTGTGTGAAGTAGATGTCATTACCCCCATTTTACAGATAAAAACATGGACACTCAGAAAGGCCAGGCACAAAGGTGAAAAGCTGTTTAATGGAAACATTCTGAGGCTGACACTACAAAGTTTACTGGCTCAGCCACCTCCTTGATCTTGTGCAAGCTGGCACTCTGCACCTGAGTGCCCTTATCTATAGCCACACATTCTCATTTGCCTGCGTCAGACCTGGTTTACACCTGTCTGTTGTCCCAGTGTTGTTAGTAATAGCACCTCTTTTCTTTTTCAAAAGTGCCCCAGTTGGGATAATAAATTTATTGTATGGTCACTCTGGTGTCTATAAAGAGGGGATATTAATATTACCTAGGTCATGGAGTGGTTGCAAGGAATTGATGAGATTATGCACATAAAATGCATGGCATCGAGCACATATTAAGCACTCAATTAATGTTAGTTGTTATTACTATTATAATTAGGAAGGCATCTAGAGAGGAGGCAACAAGGAGTGAAGGCAAACTTTCCCACTTGGCACTCCCTTGTCAGGCTCTGTGAATGATGCTCCCTGGAGTCGTGCAGTGCCAGCCTTAGTGCCTTCAGACTGACCCAGTGTGGGTGGTACCAACCACTCTAAACTAGAAACTATACGGGGCACCAAGCTTGCTTCTTCCGCCTCTGTGCCAATCACATTCACCACCCCACTCCTTCTTGGGTCATATGGTTGAGACAATTTTTTTTCCTTTACTGGCAAGTTTAGAGCCCAGATTTCTGAAAGAGGAAAAGTGTCAAGCAGAGAATCCTGCAACCACCATCCCTTGCCCCAGCCCATGCTAATTAAGTGAATGACTTAAGGGAGTTGCCTCCTCTTCAAGATTAAGAGGTGGGTGTGAATATTTTCCTCTCCTCCCCCCCAAATGTTCTTGATTACAGTAATAAAAATGCTAAGCGCTATTGCCTCTTATTGGAGTGAAGGCTGCTGAAAACTCCTCATTCCCTGAAGAACCTAATTGTTGATTCTAGTGCATCTAAACAGGTGTTCACTAGATTGCTTTTTCACTGGAAAGATCAATTTAAATGTTGTTTTGAGCTAATCACTGATTGCTTCTGTATTTATCCAAATTCATATCTTTGATTCTGTGTGCTGGATGAGACATTACCTTCAGAGTCTATACACTCAAACAAGGTGGGTGATTTTTAATTTAGTTCTTTGTACTTTTCTATGACTTCCATATTTTATACAAAATATGCATATATTTCTTTCGTTATTTAAAATGCCTACCTTAAACCTATATTAGAAGTCTAGAGTCATCTTTGGACGCCCTATATAACCAAGCATAGTGTGTTATACAGAGTGGGCGTTCAATAAATATTTGTGGAATAAATTGATACCCTAACCTAGATTGCAAACAAATTGTTTTTGTTGTCTCTAGGTGTTTGGGTTCAGGAATTCTTTAAATGTTTGGGCGTTCAATAAATATTTGTGGAATAAATTGATACCCTAACCTAGATTGCAAACAAATTGGTTTTGTTGTCTCTAGGTGTTTGGGTTCAGGAATTCTTTAAATGTCTTATTTTTTAAATGACCGGTAAGGGGATCTTAACCCTTGACTTGGTGTTGTCAGCACCACGCTCACCCAGTGAGCGAACTGGCCATCCCTATACGGGATCCGAACCTGCGGCCTTGGTGTTATCAGCACCAAACTCTCCCGAGTGAGCCACAGGCCGGCCCCTAAATGTTCTTTAACAGGCAGTTGTTTTAATACTTTTTGGCACACCATACCATGAAATATTAATTAGCTATTAAAAAGAAAAAACTAGATCTATATGTTCTACATGGAAAGATCTCCAAAATATATGAAATGAAAAAAAAAAAAAAAACCAAGATACAAAACACTGTATATAGTATGTTTATTTTTATGTTAAAAATGTATATGCTTAGGGCCGGCCCGGTGGCGCACTGCTACAGTGCTCCGCTTGGGAGCGCTCCCGCCGAGGGTTCGGATCCCACATACAGACCAGTTCCCACTCACTGGCTGAGCGAGGTGCGGGCACAACACCGAGGGTTGTGATCCCGTTGCCAGTCCCGGTCTGGTACGGGCGCGACACTGAGGGTTGCGATCCGTTGCCGGACACGAAAAAAGACAAAAAGGAAAAAAAAAAAATAAGCATGCAAAATAGCCAGTAAAAATACTGTGAATAAATTTAAAAGACGAATAGAAAATGGTAAAAACATTTGCAATATTGTATGAGTATATGTAACCAACAAAGGATCAATATCCTTACTACATAAAAAATTGACAAAGAAAATATCTGGGAATTTACAAAAGAAGAAATGACTATATAACATACAAAAGCATTTTCAACCTTACCAGTAATCAAAAATACAAATGACAGCCACATACCTCTTTTAATGTCAGACAAGGAAAGCCAGAGTTGTCCTGAATGGTTATTTAACACTTTTATATGTTGCCCATGGTAATGCAATATAATATCAGCTTTCTGAGGGCCAAATTCTCTCTCTCTCTCTCTCTCTCTCTCTATATATATATATATATATAAAGGCTTAAACACATGACCTGCAGAAACCTATCCCAAGGGAACAATCAGATAAGTGTGTAAAGATGTATGTACAAACTGGAAAGATCCTAAATCTTGAACAAAAGAAGATTAGTCAAATGAGGTAAACTACATTCATGTTATTATGCAGCCATTAAATTGGTAAAAGTATGATCTTTTTTTTCAAAAAATGTATTTATATGTATACAGATATATTTACACATATACATACCCATACATATATATGTTTGCATCTGCAACATAGCTATGATTTATGCTTTTCCATAGTTGTTTTCATTTGAAAAGATTAATTGAGCTTAGCTTTCTGACAATAAATATGAGACTATTGTTCAGACATACTTATAAAATTTTAAAAAGCAAAGACCTTTTGGAGCTGACAGAGATTGGAACATACAGAAGAAAAGACCAGAGGATTTGAAAGAGAACTTTTATTGATGCCTGCATGAATAATGATGAATGCATTAATTGTTTTTTCCTTGCCAGAAATCAGCCTGGGTTTGGTCTTTAGACTTAAATTTTAGTGAATTTAAAATATGGATATACACATATTCACATACTAATGGGGAGGGTGGATTAGATGAAGTCTAAAGAGTCTTCGATGCTTTAGATTTACTGCTTCACAAGCATATACAGGCCACCCTTGACTGACTTACACCTTAATTGGATATTGGGGGATCATTATAATTCTAAAGCTGATTTTATAATTTCAGATATATCGGGGAGGAGAAATTGATGGAGAAGTGAAGGATAGTAAGAGAGTAGGTGAGAAAAAAAAACTATAAAGAAGTTTTGAAAAAATCTTTTTTTTTTTTTATGGCAGCTGGCCAGTATGGGAATCAGAACCCTTGATCTTGCTGTTAAAAATATTTTTTTTTAGTGCTATAGAAAAGTAGCTGGTGGAAAATAGTTTAAAGTTAGTAAAGTTGAATATAGTAAATCAAATTAGCATTGATATTTTGTGAGTATGTGATCGTGAAAAGATGGACTTAATATGACTATTGGTAATAGAATCGATTATGGTCATTATTAACTATATTAACAGAAAACTAGGCTTTAATAGCTCCTAAAAATATGAGATTATTATAACAGACTGTGGTCCCTTATCAACATATATAAAACTTAAAGGTTTATAAACCAGTTCTCTTTCCAGAACTAAACTAGATTAGATGATCAATTAATAGCTAAAATGTTATTATATCTCTTTTTCATATTTCTTGTCAAAAACTGAAATATTTCTGATTCAACTTGTGCTTCTATTTGCGTAATATAATTTAGCCATAATTGGTTTCATTTCGATTATCTTTACATTTGGGGTACTTATTATTATCTTTTCTCTCATCCACTGGGAATGCCAAGTACCAATTTTCGCTACTTAGCAAGTCAGTGAGGACCTTCCCACTGAGTGCCTTAATTATTGTTAATTGAATATCGTAAATGGTTTTTCAGGATCACCTGTTGGCAATCCGCATAGCATTCTCCTCAGTTGGCAAAAGTTAGAGCACCAAGAATCCTTTCCACCCCTGTCCACACAGTTATCAAATCAAGCGTCAGCAGTAACTGGTTCCAGTACAAACTCATCTCTTCTTTTCAAGTGTCAAGTCTCATCGATGCTTCATATGGCACTTAGAACATGGTGGCTGCTCAATGAATATTAAATGACAGTTGTCATTTTAAATAGAATGATTCCCTGTTCCAGTCAGAGGGAATATCCCATTTTGCTTTCCTGAGGTCTCGCAGTGCATCTAATAGGCATGCCTGGTACTCTAGGGTAGAGCTCATCCATTGTCACGCACCAAGCTTTCTAGGACTTTTTGATGTTCTATCAACAAAAGGAAGAAAAAAGAAGTCAATAAAGAAACTGAGAAGATCTGAGAATATCCGAAATGCTACAGGCAAAGAAACCAGAGGGCAGAAAAGTTGCTGAGCCAGCCTTCCTACATACTTCTTGCCTTACAACACACAATAAAAAAGAAATGAGAAATTTATAATCCGCCTTTTCAACTTTCAAACTATGTCTCCAAGTTTGGAGTGGGCTGAGGGCTAAGGCTTCAATGGAATGCAGTTGTGTTGGAGGTTGGTTTTAGCTACATAAAATCTTGCCTTCTTAATCATTTGTTTTCTGGCTCCATCAGTAAAATATCAACCATCGTATGAAACCAAAACCAGAAGAAGCCTTCAGACATCATCGAGAGTCTCCTTCCCCATCAAGGCAGCCCACAAATCAACACAGAAAGAAGAGAATTTATCTCTTCGGAGGGACAGGCATCCACAGGCTTGGCTATTACCCTGTCATACTATAAATGACATTTTCTCCTGGGACTTTTCCCTTGTATGTAGCCACTTGCTATCAGGTTGTTCAGGTCTCAGATTTAGCAACAAATTCAAGGCCTACTGTCTTAGTCCATTTCTACTGCTATAACAAAATACCTTAGACTGGGTAATTTATAAATAACAGAAATGTATTGCTTACAGTTCTAGAGGATGGGAAGTCCAAGAACCAAGGCACTAGCAGATTTGGTGTCTGGTGAGGGCTGCTCTCTGGTTCATAGATGGTACCTTCTTGCTGTATCCTCACATGGTGGAAGGGGCAAACAAGTTTCCTCAGGTCTCTTTTATAAGGGCACTAATCCCATTTGTGAGGGCTTTGTCCTCATGACCTAATCACCTCTTAAAGCCTTCTCATCTTAGTACTATTGTGTTGAGGATTAAGTTTCAACATGAATTTTGGGGGAAGTGGGGAGACAAACATTAAGACCGTAGCACTCAACTTTATCAGTTTTCCAGTATTGTTATGTACCATGTGGTACTAATATTGCTCTGGACTTTTCATTTTCCTATTCTCTTTTTTCCTGTTTGCCTAAATTGCTCAACTATTTGATCCTTGTATAGTATATATAGATTTGTAAGTCACCTCAAATCTTTTGTGATAGGAGATAGGTCAGAATGAATAAGTGGTTGAATGAATAAAATAATAAAACATGCCTTCAAGGGGCAGTTTAAGAGCACTTTTGCTGGTTCTGAAGAAGAGCTGGTTATCATTACAATGTAATAAAGATAGCAATCAGAGCCTGTCCATGCCCTCATGATGAGACATGCCCTGACCACACTCTTTTACCTCATTTGCTTTGCTGAAATGGACCAGTGGCTGGCACCTGACCTAAGGGCCACCATTGCATTGGCTAAAATGTAACCTGGCTCTACAGGTGACTGGGCCAATCAGGTCCAGGCTCCTGAGAACCCTCATGATGAGACATGCCCTGACCACACTCTTTTACCTCATTTGCTTTGCTGAAATGGACTAGTGGCTGGCACCTGACCTAAGGGCCACCATTGCATTGGCTAAAATGTAACCTGGCTCTACAGGTGAACTGGGCCAATCAGGTCCAGGCCCCTGAGAATTTTTTTTTTTTTTTGGTCTTTTTTCGTGACCGGCAACGGATCGCAACCCTCAGTGTCGCGCCCGTACCGGACTGGGACCGGCAACAGGATCGCAACCCTCGGTATTGTGCCCGCACCTCGCTCAGCTAGTGAGCAGCCGGTCTGTATGTGGGATCCGAACCCTCAGCGGGAGCGCCGCCACACTCCCAAGCAGCGCACTGCTACAGTGCACCACCGGGCTGGCCCGGCTCCTGAGAATTTAAAGTGCGGCGAGAATGTGCTAGTAAGTAGGGGGGAGCTAAAACTGAACGATTTTGGTTAGACAGAGGCCACATGTAAGCTGGTTATGAGAGAGCAGAACCCATGAAGAAGCTGAGAAACTGGTCAGGAGAGAAGAGAATGAGTCAGGGCTGCCCACCAGAGAGAGATGGGAGAACTGCCAGCCCAGAGCTGCCACTGTCCGTGAAAGCTTCCGCATCCGCTCCCAGTTCATACAAATTCTCCTGGTCTGTCTCCCTGTTGTTAAAGGTGACCTGACAGAGTCTTTGCTGGTTGCTGCCAAGAGTCTCAACATGTGTCAGAGCATTTTCTTTTCTTCCTGTTTTCACTTAATTATAAAGTTTTCACCTGATAACTTTGGGCTTTTGTGTTTTTCCAATAAGATTTAAAAATTATTGTCTCGTAGAAAGATACTTACATATAAAGAATTTTGTAGAAATGAAACAGAAAGAGATAATTATTCCCATCTACTTGTCTCCAAGTAAATACTGTATTAAGAATTCCTAACTACTTATGGAAGGAGATGTCCTTAACTTCCTTCAATGGCTTGCTTAATTTTATCACAAATTCTAGAACTCATCTGCCATGAGGCCCCACTGTCTGATATTTGCACATACTGAGTTTCCCCCTTGCTTTGTGTGTAATATCTGGCTTTTTGACTTCTCCCTGAGGCACTCTTGGCTTCGTTCAATGCAATTCCTGGGACTTCCTTCTCTAGGGCTCAGTGCCCTAGAGTAGAGGCCTGTTTGACTGGGAGGAATGGGAGGGGAGTATCAGCCTATATCTATATGTGAGGAAACTGAGCCTCTTTGAACATTGCACACGTCAAAGTGACGTACTATGCTAGAGAGATCCAGAACTTTTGGTCATTCCACTTCCTACAAGGGAAGACTGGTGAGTAGCTCATTGGAAGTGCAGATCTCATGGGGGTTCCGCCACGATGTCATGTGTTAGGCCCCCATGTTAGCCATTGTCCTTCATTCATCAGAGCTGCCTTGATCTTTTAGAAATATGTAGACATTTATTTTATTTATTTATTTATTTTTTCCTTTTTTTTGTCTTTTTCGGTGTCCGGCCACGGATCGCAACCCTCAGTGTCGCCCCCGTACTGGACCAGGACCGGCAACGGGATCGCAACCCTTGGCGTTGCTCCTGCGCCTCGCTCAGCCAGTGAGCGGGAACCAGTCTGTATGTGGGATCCGAACCCTCGGCGGGAGCGCCGCCGCGCTTCCCAAGCGGCGCACTGTAGCAGTGCGCCACCGGGCCGGCCCCAGAAATATGTAGACATTTAAACCCTTAGAAATACACAATGCTCCTACACTTTCTTTACTTTTATGTTCTTTGGGCCCAGAATACCTGCTACAAAAGAGTCCATAACTTAAGTAATTCATGGATTTATCAATGTCTAGTTTCTTTTGTGGTCACCTCAATGACAAAAGTAACTATAGAGCAAATCAAAGCAGTTGTACATAATCCAATCTGGTCATCAGCTGAAAATATCAGATGGACTTTTCTCTTTGAATATGTATGGACACTGAGTTCCAGGAAATATAATTCTGAGTCACAGTCCAATACACGTTGACTATGGTTAATTCCCAGATAACGGTGGCTGGATTTGCCACATTATCTTTCATGGCAGGATCAGTTTATTCTTAACTTTATGAGCAGTTAACACCTACCCTACTGAGAAGCTTACCTTGTTAAGATCTCACTCACTTTCTGTGGAAGAGCCCTAGTATTTAATGGTGCTCATGCATACAAACACCCTGGACATTCATGCCCAGGGGGGTGTCCCACAGTGCTCTCATTCTACTTAGCTGGAGTGTCCTCTTTTTCCTGTGCACGTTTCAGGCCCATCTTAAATGTCCCCTCCTTTCTGAATTCTTCTCTGACTTTTCCAGCCCTCCCTGATCTCCAGTCTTTCTGAATTTTTACAGACTTAGCCATCCATACTAGCTTACCTTGTTATTACAGGCTGCAGTGAATGGCTTCCTGCTGCTTAGCAGGTCTGCCTCTCAGTCAAGTCATGTGCTTTTAAATGGCACTGGCACCACAGCCCTTTCCTATGACTTGTGCTGTACGCATTTTGCATGAGCACATTCATCTTGATACAAAAACTATGTTTTGGTTGCTTCACTTCAATTCTGTTTTCTTCGCATATGGAAAAGCAACACGAGGCACAGTAACCATCACTTCTTTTGTAGGAGAAGCTAGAGAGGGCACACACTTTTCAATTGTTCTGGAAAAGAACCCTTTACTCACCCAGAAATTATACTGCAAGAGGGCAGCCTAATTGATTTCACAAGGTTATTGGTATAAATAAAATAATTAACTTAGAAGTTCTCTGTAAATTGTAAAGGTTCTGCTAGTGATAGTTTGTGTTAATTAAAGTAAAATATTAGATAAGTTTTAATATTAAAGTTAAAACATAATGATCACCTTTAATTGCAAGCTTAAGATATGATATAGGACAAGATTTCAGAAAGCACAAAACTTAGGAAGCAGCCTATTTGTGTAAGTTTAAACTCTTTACGTGCAAGTAAGAAAACTCCTAACTCAAATTGGCTTCCGCAGTGAAGTAAGTTCATTGTCACCTAGTCTAAAAGGGCAAAAAGAGTGCTAGTTTAATATAGCTAGCTTAACCTGGAGTCAAGGCTTAATCCGGAGTCAAGGCTTAATCTAGCAGCTCGGACAATGCCATTCTAGAGCAGGATGGCCTCGTGTCCCTGTTTGCCCAGAACACTCTTGTCTATGCCCACTGTTACAGCATCTTGTCTGGTTTAGCATTTGTCCTGACCTGTTTCATTCTCAAAATTGTCCTGGCTTAGCAGATAAATGATATTTTACTTAACCCAGGTTTGCTCTCTCCACTTGGTTGTTTTGTGTTGGCAGGATTTACCATCAGGTATCATGTGACACGTTTTCCCCACCCTCTTCCTGGAACTCCAGCCTCTTCCGTCATGGTCAGCAAAATATCTTACAAGTGTTGGCTCTCATGGGTCCCATTTAGATCACAAGGTCATTCCATCTGGGAAAAGGATTCCATGATGGACTTAGTCAACCATGCTCACCCCAAGAGTGGGTGTGAGATGATTCCACGCAAATCACACAACTGAGAATGAGGAAGGTTTGAATATCCACAAGGAATAGCAGTTAAATGTCAGCCGTAGAAGAGGTGGATGGATATTAGGGAGGTAACAAGCCGCTCCTCAGCATTGCAGAGCAGTGCAAGTGCTGGAGAAGGAACAAGCTGAGCTGCCTTTTAGCTTTTCCACTAACTGGTGTTGACATGGTGGACAAGCCCTTGCCTGGCGTAGGCCTCAGTTTCCTGCTAGGTAAAGTGTAAAAGGAAGACTAGAGGATTTCCAAGGTTCCATTAACTCTAAATGTTTAATGCATGGCTATGTTCTCTCATTAGTCTTCAGGGCTATCAATTCCAGGTTTATTTTCTTACCTGATTTTCTCACTAGGCCTAAACAGAACTCACCTTGTCTTTGCTTCTGATGCTAGAAACCTTCCAACTCCAGTGGAGATTTGAAATATTCCATTGCTTCTATTAAGTAAGTCATATTCTTTAACTAGCCAACTTTTCCTACAGTTTACAACCTGTGTCAGACTGAAGGAAGATTTGCTTTTAGTTTTCTCTCTGTGAACAAAACAACCCATTGCTTCTATTAAGTAAGTCATATTCTTTAACTAGCCAACTTTTCCTACAGTTTACAACTTGTGTCAGACTGAAGGAAGATTTGCTTTTAGTTTTCTCTCTGTGAACAAAACAACTCATAAAAACAGATTTATATCATGGTTTCCTTACAGTTGCATTTCATCCTAGGTTTCTTAAATCAGGAAATCGACTAACATAAAGGCTGAATGAATAAAACACGGGAGCAATGAATGACTGCCTTTAGCAAACTGAGAGGGAGTCTTATTATTTAAATGTTCCTGGTTATATTAAGTGGAGCAAAAGGCTTGGAATTAAAAGTGAAAGAAATAGGCAGCCAAGACAAAATGCCACCAACCTGTAAATAAAATATGAATCTGGCTTAGATAGGGAGAATTACTTCGAAGTCAAACACTGATATATGGTCTATAATTGTGGGACATTTGTAAAAGGTGGCATGACACCTGTCAATTATCCACAGCAGCCAGGAAATGTAGATTACATGAATAATTCACCAACCTGGTGCCCTTTGTTGCTAAGCTGTCTAAGCCCAGATCCATAAAATAACTGCTGATATGAAAGAAGAAAAAATGTGTTTAAATTCAAGGGCCTTATGTTAACATGCGGAAATGTTTTCAAGGCAGTTTCATCATGATTACGTTCCAGTTAGCACCAGTGGCTAAATAATTAACATGTGAACCTTTATCGGATATAACAAAGGAGGGGGCTTGGGTTCTGGAAACTTTATATGTCCCCCAGGGGGTGGGGCTGCATATGAGAATCTTCAGTATCAGAAACATATCATTACATATTTCATGATTTTCTCACTCCACCCCTCCCCCATTCAGCATGTAATCCTTTAAAAAGGCTAAGTCTGAATTTTTGTTTTTGAATCACGGAATTGTAGAATAATAAATTTGGGAGGTCACTTAGAGATAGCTTAGTTCAGCGGTTTTTAGAAGCCAACAACCTTTCTTTGAAGAAAATTTTACATGAAAATACAAAATACAGGACAGGTAAAAGTGGAGTTGTTTTGATGACTTTAGGTGAGGAGGATTATAGAGGAATGGCAGGAACCTACCTACTCAGCAGCCCCTCCCCTAGACCCCACTCTCTACCCCTTCCCAAACACCTACAGGGATCCAACTGTCCCAGTTCATAGACGAGAAAATTGAGGCTCCTAGAGGTGAAGGGGCTCATTGAAGTCCTAAAGCGAGTCAGTGGCAGAGCTGAGACTGGAAGCCAGACTGCTGACTCCCGTGCAACACACATACACATGTACAACTGTAAGTACAGCTTGTCTACATGGCCACGTGAGCAGCCAGGATTTGGAGAAATACCAGTTCTGCAGCTCCCAGGATCTCACAAGAGAACATGAGGAATGGAAACAACCAGCTCTTTCATTTGTGGCCTAGGCCCAGGCAGCCTGATACCTTCGCCCCCCCACCTCCCCCACACCTGTGTTGGCCACAGGGCTAGGGTCAGAGGTCATGGGCCAGGTGGAAGGTGAGGCCTTGGAATGCCCAGGGGACTGGGCAGGCAGCCATAGGTAACCAGAGCCAGCCATCTAATCCATCTGCTTCCCTGGGCTGCTGTGAGAAAAAGTCTCATTGGAGAGAGGTACAGAGGTGGCTGATTCCAGAAGTGAACCCAGCAACACCGTGGAGAAAGATTTTCTTGCCATCTTGCTCATTCCTTGCAACATCCTTCCTTCATAATGAAGATTTCAATAGAAAGGGGAACAAAAGGAAGTTTCTGTTTCATACGGTTTACATGGAAAAGAATACCCTGGAGATAAATACAGCCTTTCCCATTTTTCAGAAGCAAATGAGAGGTTCTTTCTCATTTTAGTCTTATTTGCAGCCAAGGTTTGGCTTTGTTTTTGAGAGTTTGTCAAGAGTTTTCACTACTGTGTTAAAGATAAATAGAGTGAAAGTGCTGTGGCACAGATTTTCTGTAATGTTTGCTATTTTTCTCCAATTATCCCAACTGGTAGTTCATATTATTTCAGCCTTTTAGGAGGCTAACCTACAAGGAAATGCAGTAGAAAGGGAACCAAGTTTCTGATGCAGGCTAAGGGCAATTGTAGTATTAAGGCTTTCTGAATTTATCTCTTTTTGCAATCAGTCATCACTTTTGGCATGAACACATTATATTTAGTTATATATAGAAATAATAATGAACTGCTGGTTTTACTGTGAAGAGCTGAGGTTGAAAACTTCATGTTTTAAATTTGACTATTCCAGCTAGCATAAAACAGGAGATATTGGGCATCTTGATGGTATGGCTGTTTTGAGACTGATTCTCTCAGTGCATATGTCACAGTATTCCTTTGACTATGAGGCTGAGTTTCTTTCAACAAATGGAGGTAATTATTAAATGAGTCAATGATTGTCTAAACCAATTAATGCCCATTCCAATAATGCCTAAACGTCTTTCAAGAATAGCCTGGAAAAGTCTTTCATAGTAAGATGCTGGTGGAGCTGGAGCAGCTGAGTGAGTTCTGGTAGAGGATGAATCTCCCTGAACTTTGGTTTCTGTATTTGTAATCCGGGTGCCATCATGATGGTAACAAAGCCTGTTTCACAGGAAGGCTGGGAACATATGGCTACCTTGTCTGCCTGGCAAAACTCTTGCCCAGCTAAGTTGCAGTCTGGGTTCCCAGAAAGCTGGGGCCGAGGCAAAGGCTTACCTATGAGCTCTTCATTTTGCACGTGATCCTAGAGAGCTGGGTGAGAGACGGGGGAGTCAAGCAAGGGAGGAAGGAGAGGCCGTACCAGGATGTCTTGTCAAAGGTTGTCAATTGAGCAAATACAAAAACAAAATACCCAGTTAACTATGAATTTCGGATAAATGATAAAGAAGTTTTTTTTTTTCCTTTTTGTCTTTTTTACTGACCGGTAACGGGATCGCAACCCTCAGTGTTGCGCCCGCACCACGCTCAGCCAGTGAGCGGGAACCGGTCTCCACATGGGATCCGAACCCTCAGCGGGAGCGCCACCACGCTCCCAAGCGGCGCACTCTCCAGTGTGCCACCGGGCCGGCCCTAAAGAAGTTTTTATAAATAGTCCCACCCATCTACGCATCTGCTTACTTTAGATCCCTTCCCATCTCTCTGGTCAACTGTGCCATCTGCCCTAGCCTAGAAAAACCGATTACTGTTGGCTTAGACCAATCATGTTTATCCTCTGCATCGGAAAATGTGTCCTGCTTGCACAGAAGCTCAAGGCTGCACAGAGAAGGATGAAGAGCTAAAAAGTTAAAGTTCCCTTAAGAAGCAGGAAAGGAAGAATGGTTCTTGGCCAGGCAACCGGCTGTACCATTTATACTTATTATGCTTTGTTGCTACACTACATTCTTCCTGAGTTAATATTGTTATTTTTCCTGAGGACATAATAGACAAACT